AGAGAAAGGCTAAGTCTGCGATAGTCCCATGTACCATTCCCAAAGAGTCCCTATGTTTCTCTTGCCAAAGGAAGGGGCATTGATTGCGAATCAGCCTATTTACTTGAAAGATCATAAGGTTGATAAAGTCAAGAAGATTCACTCTACTTCAGTTAAAGTCCACTATCTAACTCTGTTAAGTTTCTATTCTGAGATTCTTGTTACATGATGTGACTGGGTCACATGTTGATGTTTTAAGAATCAAAGAAAAGTGAAGAAACTTAAAGGAAGTATATGCTGATTCTGATCGTGAAGATGGATCTCGATCGCATGGTTTTGTGATAAGAATGTTGAGCTGTTGCTTAGGAGTTATGATATATTGCTTAGGAATAGATAACAACAAAGTTTTTCATGTGCTTTTGCACTGTAAGGATAGTTTTTCCGCAAAGTTTTTAAAATAAAAGAAAAAATATTTTGATTTTATTTATTTTAAAATATCCTTACAATGGCATTTGTGAAAAGGAAAAAAATTGTTGCTTATATGATTCCATTAATAGCAAGAGTGGAAATATGAATTTGATTCTTTCATTTGTGGTAGTGTCTAAATTTTCCAAATAATGAAAGATTCTCATCACCCAAGTTTCAGTTGGATAGAAACTTGGAATCATGCAAGTTGTATAGTATGATGAATGAGAACTTTCAAGCATTGGAAAATTAAGACTAATTACTTGTTCACATGGATGTGTGAGTCAAGTAAAGGACTAAGGGATCGAGTACACATTCTTGTGCACTGATCAAGCCCACCACAAATGTAACTTGAGTGACACATCTTAAAGAAGGTTTATTAACACTAGTGAAATGTAATAGTAAAAGGTTTTCTACTCTTGTACATTTGAATTTGGTAAGTTGTGATGTTTTGGATAAAACAAAGACCAACTTAGGCCAATTGTGTTAAGTGTTTGTCTTGATTAGAATCCACACTATCTCTTGAATATTTGGCAAGAAAGTCTTATAGGTCAAGGAGACAGTGGGAGTCTAAAAGATCCTGAAAGGGTTTCAAGAAGTAATCAAGAATAAAACATGTATTTCATCACTAGCACACAACTAGAGGTTTATAACCTATCGTGTTGACATTTCTGTGCCCATTCCAGTTAAGTTGGCTATATATATTTGAGTTCTACATGTTCTCAATTGTTTGCATAACTACTTGGAAGCAATGGCAGGCCCTTGTGCTGCCAGGTGGCAAGAGGTTAAGATTGCACAAGTTCAATCCATATGAGTTAGGATTTGTCACTAACCTAGTCTTGTGATTATGGTTTGACAAATTCACATGGATAAGAACACATACACCATAAAATCTAAGTGTCATAAGGTTTCTCTCCGATTCATGAAAATGATGGTGAGGAAATTCTTTCACTAAGTAGATTTTAAGTAGATAGCAATTGTGATATTTGCAGTTCTCAAAGTCGTTAGTGGAGCGTGCGTAGTTAACCGGCACACTAACATTGACTTATGAGAAATGGCAAAAGGTCTAAACAATTAAGACTATGATTATGGCATCCCTTTTCATAGTTCTGAAATTGTTTAGACACACCTGTGATCTATCTAAGATAAGGTGTATGATTTTGATAAAGTCTTATCAAAGCAATCTAGTATCAGAAATCTGAACTTTGGTAAGAATGTCAATAAAGTATTGACTTCTAGATGTCCAATTGTTTTCTGGATACATGTCAAAGCTAGTGGGAGCATGAGTGTTATGCTAATAATCATCATGTTAGTGGAAGCATGATAATTATGATAAGTATTGCAAGTTAGCAATGTTAATTATAGAAAACCAAAGTTTTAATTCGTGAGGTTGCAAGGGTTGAAAAAGTTGTTTTGCTATAATTAAGGGAGAGGATATTATAATTCATGTCAATTCTAAAAGGCTTAGAGTGAGATTTTAAGCTTAGATTGAGATTTTAATCATATTTAGTCAAGAATATATATATATATATGAATTTCATGTTGGATTGGTTCAACTTAAGGAAATTCTATATATTGCGTTCTCAAAATTCGATTATGATTACGACATCCCTGTTCATAGTCAAATTTTGAGAATATGGCAAACAAAAAATTATTATGGCAAAAGACTAGAACCATGTCTTTATGTGAAACATCATGAATCGTGTCCCATTTACTTTGGGTACAAGATCGATTACATGTGCTATAATATTTACCCTTTCTGAATTTTCCAAATGCCTTGGGGAATTAAGGGGAAAAATGTCTAGAATTAGATATGACTAAAGTGATTAAGCAATTGTCGAGGACAATCTAAGGTTTACCAAAGATTGGTTGCTCAAGGACAGTTGGAAGTATACTGTTTAATATTTGAAGGACCATATTGACATAGTCTGAAAAGAGGCAACTCTTGTTCAGAAGCGGTAGTCAAAATGGGAATATTGAGTTGTCTTCATAGGTGGAAGCAATCTGTGTAAGGTTAAAGAAACTTAATGCAAGAAGCATGTTCAAAGCAATGCGCTTTGAGTTTGAGACATCGTTTCCATGGAATTGATCTCCATTCGGATACTCTGTAATGATTGTTGCCAAGCCTTTGTGGCTTTGTGCATAATCATTACAAGAGGAACATTGCATATAAGTTTAAAATCTAAACAGATTTCGATAAATGATAGGAATTTGGAATTCTTACATTTAAGACAAGGATTTGGGAGTGTGAAAAGAGAATCATTGAAGTTATGTTCAATTGATCTAGTTCACAAAGAAAAGGATCATAGACAAACATAGAGTTCATACTTGGTGTATGGCAAAGCTATTGTTTAAGAAAAACATAGTGTACATGCTTGGTGCATGGGACAACTAGTGTTTTTAATTCAATTATAAAGTTGATAAAACCGAAACAATGAATAATGAGTAATCGGTATGGTGATAAATAAAAGTGTTTATTTATATTCATAGGGTTTGATACCATATTTGATTCATTTATTCTTGTGTTTCACTTTGCATGTTTTGACTTCCAGAATAACTAAGTCGCTCTTCCTGAATGATTAAGTTATTCAAACCATCCACAGTCGGTCATATGTTGGAAGTAGATATGAATCAAGACTGTCATGGGTTGGTTTGTAGAGGTCCAAGTTGATGGACAAAGTGGTGCTACAACACTCATGAGTACTCATAAGTTCTGAGTATTGGATTCAACCCACGCTCATTTGAATCACTTCATGGATTTTATCACGAGTGATCATGAGACGATAATATCTTATATTCTTCAAACCTAGAGATATGAGTTGTTACTATGAGTTGGTTATACATTGATTGCACGAAAACGCATTTGGTAACTCGATGTTATAAAACGTGCCTTTGTGTATGATTCAACAAGTAGTAGAACAAGCCATATGAGTCGAAGTTTATCCATTCCTTTTACCTTCGGGATAAAAGCGATATATGTGGGCCCCTCGATGATTTAGCGATGACACATGTGAGTGCTTGGCCAAGCCAGGACTGATTTGATTTGTTCAATCAGTCAGTCATCATAAATCGAAAATCGGGAAACAACAAATGGAAAGAGAGAATGATTATAATCCATGTCTCAGTCCATATGATATCTAGAATGGAGGAATATATGATCCCTTATCTAATGGACAAGTCATTGACAAGGTCAGAGTTCGACAGCGGCTTTAAGAGCTACGATTGCCAGTTTGGTTTTGAAGTCATACTCAATAATAGTTTTAGACTTATCCAAGTGGGAGACTGTTGGATTAATGTCTAAGTCCATAACTATATTTGGTATGTACTTGACCCGACCCGGCATGGTCCATTTGGGTTGCACTTCACCGGCACAATTTATATGGATAGTCTTTTGAGAATAGTATATTTATGATTTATATTAATATATTATAAGTTCTAATACATTAATATGGAATCATATTATTTAATTAGTATTGATCAAGAATTAATTTAGAATTAATTAAGTGATCAAAAAGAACTAATTAAATATGGACTCTTATATACATGGAATGGGCCAAGTTTATTTAGGTTGGGCTAAGCTTTCATGGATGGTCCATGGAGCTTTTAACCCATGGATCCTATGTAAATGAAAGGTCATGGGTATTAGGGTTTACATGAATGTAACCCTAATCCTCCATAATATATAAAGGGGTCCTTGGCTCACAAAATTGGCACAAGTGTGTGAAAATAAGAGTGGGCCGATTTTAGTGTGCATACATATTCTCTCAAGTTCTTCCAAGGTGTTTTGGTGATTTGTGATTCCATTTGAGGCTTCCACACTATTGGGGCTAAGCTCTTAAAGCTTGAAGACATCAAGCTACATCAAAAGGTATGTCATCTAACTAGAACTTTGTAGTATAGGTGCTTCATAATATGCTAGTTAGGATGAAACCTTGGAATATTTAATATTTGCATGTATAATAGAGAAAACATAGATCCAAGGTTTATAGGGTTGCATGTACACCATAGGAGTGTTAGAATGCTCAAAACCCAACAGTGGTATCAGAGCCATGGGTTGTTTTCTGTTATATTGATGCAAATGTTTTATTTTCAAGTTGAAAAAAAGGAAAAAAAAAACATGACGTTTGTCAAATTTTAAGATAATTACTTGTTGTGTGAAAAAACTAATTATTTGTAAAATTTGAATCATTTGCTATATGAGTTGAATTAGGTCAAATTTAGTAAAAGATAAAATGATATGATTATTTTTAAAAGTTTGATCTAAATGTTTTAAGGAGTTACAAATTTTGTCATAAAATTTTGGAGCTCAAAAGTTTTTTTTTAAAGTTGTGATCTTAAGTGTTTTGAAACCTCCATAAGTTATGGATATGAAAGTTTTTTTTAAAAAAAAAAGTGATTTAAAGTTTTTATGGAGTTACAAAATTTGGAGTTAATGTTTTAAAGAATTTCATAACTTGTTCTTAAGTTATGGAACATGAAAAGTTTCATCATAAAACAAGTATTTAACTCCATAAGTTATGGAATCCAAAGGTTTTCAAGAGTTACAAAACCTGCCCTCAAGTTTTGGATGTATCACAGAACACCACAAAATCCTCAACTCCCTCCGGGAGTGTCAACACTGGTGCTTCACACAAACGCTGATGGAGGGTCTCAAACGCCCTCTGCTGCTCCGGACCCCACCAAAAATCCACCCCCTTCCTCGTCAGACGAGTGAGGGGTACTGAAATCTTGGAGAAATCTCGTATGAACCTTCGGTAGTACCCTGCCAATCCCAGAAAGCTCCTAATATCTGAGGGAGATTTCAGAATCTCCCACTGCATAACCGCCTTGATCTTGGCTGGATCGACCAAAATCCCCTCCTGGTTAACGAGATGCCCGAGGAACTGGACCTCTCGTAACCAAAACTCATACTTCGAGAACTTGGCGTACAGCCGTTCTCGTCTCAGAACTCCCAATAACTCTCGCAGATGCTCCTCATGCTGCTCTCGGGTCTTGGAGTACACCAAGATATCATCTATAAACACTATGAGCGAGCGATCAAGCATCGGTCTGCAGACCCGATTCATCAGGTCCATAAATACTGCTGGCGCGTTGGTGAGCCCAAACGGCATCACCACAAACTCGTAATGTCCATATCGAGTTCGGAACGCGGTCTTCTCCACATCCTCCTCTCTGACCCTGACCTGATGATACCCAGACCTCAAGTCTATCTTGGAAAACCAAGATGCGCCCTGCAACTGATCAAAGAGATCGTCTATCCTCGGGAGTGGGTAACGGTTCTTCACCGTTAAATTATTCAACTCCCGGTAATCAATGCACATCCGGTGCGAACCGTCCTTCTTCCGGACAAAAAGAATCGGTGCTCCCCATGGAGAACTGCTAGGTCGAATGAACTGCTTGCCCAACAGTTCCTGTAGCTGCGACGATAGCTCCTGCATCTCTGGTGGTGCCAATCGGTACGGCGCCTTAGCGACAGGGGCCGCACCTGGCACCAGGTCGATCCTGAACTCGACCTGCCTCTCCGGAGGTATCCATGGCAACTCCTCCGGAAACACATCTGCAAACTCCCTGACCACCGATACATCGGACACCGAAATCTGATCCCTGACTCGCGTATCTACCACATATGCTAGATAACCCGCACACCCGTGCTGAATGTACTGCCGAGCCCTGGCAGCTGAAGAAAACCCTGATCCCGCTCTGGTGCCCTCGCCATATATAATCAGTTCTCCCCCACTTGGGGTTCGAACTACTACTTGCTGGCCCTCGCAATCAATCATAGCACCGGACCGACTGAGCTAATCCATGCCAACAATCACGCACACCTCCCCCATGGGGATCGGAATCAAATCTATCGGAAAGGACACCCCGAAAATCTCCAAGTCACACCCTCGATACACTGAAGAAGCAGAAATCCCGTGTTCGTTGGCGATAGACACTCGCAACGGACACTCTAACTCGCCCACTGGCGCATTAAACTCCCTACTAAATAACTGTGATACGAAGGACCGACTCGCCCCCGAGTCAAATAAGACCAAGGCAGGTAAGGAGTTCACTAAAAACGTACCTAATCATAGGTACAACAGATAAGCATATAACAGATATAACTAAAGGGAGTAAGAATAGAAACATACCAGCAACCACATCCGGTGCTGCCCTGGCCTCCTCGGCTGTAAGCTGGAAGGCACGCCCCTGAGCCTTCGGAGGCTCTGCCCTGGCTGGTCTCCCATCCGTGATCCTCAATGTAGCCGGCGCTGGGGCCTGTGCCGGCTTGGCGGCTAGCAGAGGACACTGGGCCCTCATATGGACCACCTGCTCACAATGATAGCAAACCCTGACTCCGGAAGTCGGAGTCGGCTGCCTGCAATCCCTGGCCAAATGGCCCTGCTCGCCACATCGGTGGCACCCACTCCCTGTCCGACACATCCCTGAATGAGCCTTCCCGCACTTCCCACAAGTGCGGCCTGGCTGTCCCCCAGTCCTGGTATCAGCGGTCTTGGACCGTTTTGGCGCCGGCTGTGACTGTGCCGGGGCCTGCCGCTGCTCCCTCAACTGCAACTCAATCTCCAACTCACTTCGCCTAGCGGCCTCCTGCAACTCCAGAAGAGTATCACATCGCTGGGTGGCAACAAACTGACGGATGTCAGTCTTGAGCATGCTCAGATAACGGGTCATCTGAGCCTGCTCAGAAGCAAACTCCGGGCAAAACATCGCCCTCTCAGTGAACATACGGGTGATCTCCATCACCGAATCCCCATCCTGTCTCAAACTCAAAAACTCCTGCGCCAAACGTTCCCGCTCGACCGGCGGAATGTAACGGGCGCGGAACATGTCCCTGAACTGCTCCCAAGTAACAGCAGCTCTCTGTTCGTCAGTGTATGACCCAGTCGCAAGTCTCCACCAGTCCTTGGCCCCGGACCTTAGCAGGTTCAGAGCACACCTGACCTTCTGGTCAGTAGGACACGAGCAGGGGAAGAAACACCCCTCCACATCCGAGATCCACCTCATCGCCTTGATGGGATCCTGCGTCCCATCAAAGGTAGGGGGCTTCGTGTTATCGAAGTCCCTGTACTGAAAAACTCGCCCCGCTCCTCCCCCTGCCGCTGTTACAGCCGCGGTGGCTGCAGCGGCAGCTGTCTCAGCGAGGGCTGCATATCTGTCGTCGAAATACTCCATCATAGCGGCCTTAATAGTCCCGAACAACTCCGGAATCTGACCCCGGACAATCTCGACTACCTCCTCGTGGATGATCCCCCTGACCCGATCCTCGGTCAACATTGGCCCCTCATGGCCGACAATCTCAGGTGCTACTGGGGCCTCCTGATCACCCCGTCCTGATCCTGATCCGGACCCCGTCGTGATATGTCTCATAACTGCCATTCTGAAACATAACAGGAAGATGTCACACCATCCGCATAAATAACCGGGAACTAACTCCCGACTAATCCCTAGGGGTTGGGACTTCCTTGCTACGCGTATGGGTCTTGTGCTTTCAGTAGTACGGGCCCATACTACCTTCCACACCTACCCATATTTGTCTCAAGTATCACCACAACACCCTAACAACATACATATACATAGCGAGCACTCAATCCTCACTCCTAGAGGAATGCTAAATATCTCATAACTGGCCTCCCGGCCTCTCACTACCCACCCATCCACCAACTGCCACACGACCCTCCATTGGTGCCAGTTAACTATTGCATGAATACAATCACATACCACACGACTTAAACAATCTTAGACTAAAAGATTTAACCCCACAACGGTTGGACTCAGATAAGAGCTGCGCAGCAGGACCAAATCCCTTACCCTAAGACCATTTAACCCATGTAGCATGTGACTTAGAGTATTCACCCAATAGTTAGTTCACACGCGAAAGAGTCACAAACAATCAATTGAGGTACTCTACATAAGATAAGGCATCAAAGATCAGGCAATTCTATCATACGAGTCCTGAGGATCCCTATCTTATTACTAGCATGCTGTTCTAACATATCAAATAATATCAAATAACTTGTATGGTATTTTGGGGTCTACTTACTAACTTCGGCTGATCGTACACCCTGCATCCTCATTTACTTATTTGAAAATCATTTTAGAAAACATTTTGAAACCTTTCCTTGATTTGAGACTGGATTCACACGCATGTTCCTCCAATTCACTCAAACCAAGGCTCTGATACCAACTTGTAACACCCAAAATTTTACAACCAATTTAAAATTTTTAAAAGCCTTTCCAACCATAAAACATTACAATTTTGTTTCAAAATGTATACTATCAGAGTTTTTCCCAGAAACATAGACAAAACATGAGGAGCTGTACGATCACGCCTTCGCCTTGTCGCGATCCCCTGATGTACCTGAAACAATAAACTGAAACTGTAAGCCCGAGAGCTTAGTGAGTTCCCCCAAAATACCCATACCCCAACAATACACATATAATCATAACAGCATACTATGGGTCCAGTCAACCATCGGGTTGGAATACCCCAGGCCCTCAACCAACAGGTTGGAATGCCAACACATTATGGGTCCAATCATCCTCGGGATGGAATACCCCACGCCCTCAACCAAAAGGTTGGAATGCCAACATACTATGGGTCCAATCATCCTCGGGATGGAATACCCCAGGCCCTCAACCAACAGGTTGGAATGCCCCGGTCTATTGGTCTCCGCACAAAGCAGGTAAACCTCAACCGCCAACAACATGTGCACATACAACAGATAATTACATAACAGTCTATAGACAGAAACTGATCTAACGGATCATACCACATAGCACATAATACTATCCTATCTACCAGGATACCGATCTAACAGATCATACCATATAATGTCATCCTACCATCTAGGATACCGATCTAACATATCATACTACCTAACGTAACCATATAACAATTCAAAAGGGCCGGCCTTGGTGCCTTAGACCCTTGAGTATAGTGAGGATAACTCACCTCGCAAATGTCGACTCAGAAGATAAAACCTAACTCTCGAATCACTTGGCACAGGCTCCACCACCTAACACCAAAGCACAATATACTCATAAGTCCTTAACCATATAAGGTACTCCATAACCCACTAGTCAACCCCTGGTCAAAGTCAAAGTCCTCAGTCAAGGTCAACAGTCCATGTTGACCCCAACTCGCCGAGTACCCTCGGCTACTCGCCGAGTTCCTTGAACCACAATCCAACTCGCCGAGTCATCGGAGTGACTCGTCGAGTTGCTTAGATTCTCGTTCAAACTTTAAGGCCACCCATCGAATTCCCTCCTTGCAACTCGACGGATACATACGCATACATATCCTAGGGAAAACTCATCTGACTCGCCGAGTTGTTCTTCAACTCGCCGAGTCTTATGGTAATCTTCATCGGACTCGCCGAGTTTTTCATCCAACTCGTCGAGTTTACGGCCATCTTCATGTGACTCGCCGAGTCAACCTTGCGACTCGCCGAGTCCATTCAGTCCTTTTTCCATACAGACTTGTTTTTGAGCCATGCAGCGGCTCCAAATCACAGATCCAAGCTTCTAGGGCATGCTTATCACGTAAAGTTGCAAACTGTACGTGCATGCATGGCTATTAAGGCTCTAAATGCCTAATTTAAGTTCTTAATGGAACTTCATGCTCAAGAGGGACCTTAATCATGACCAAAACTGAAACTTTATGCTTATAGAATCCAAGGAGGGTCCAGATCTAAAGTTACAACCTCAGATCTAGCCCATAGCTCATCTTTCCAACTTAATATCTCACCTAAAACCCTAAAACTCAACCAATAGAAGAGATTCACAAAGAAAAGGCGATTTGGTTACCTCCAGAAGATGATAACTGAGATAAGAGTTGATTTCCACACTCTACTTGCTCCAATCTCCTTCTCCTCTAATCCTTCTCCCTCCAAGGATCCTCTCTTCAAGCTTCAAAACACACAATGGGCACACACACACCTATTAGGGTTTTAAGGGGCTCTCAAAGACTGCAAAGAGGCCAAAGGAGGCTTATCATTCCTTAAATAGGGTGCAAAACCCCGGGATTTAGGGTTTCATCTGCCAGCTCCTACTCGTCGAGTCCCTTAGTGGACTCGTCGAGTAGGTCACAACACACGTTCCAACCCCGCTGCTACTCGACGAGTAGGACAACCAACTCGTCGAGTAGGATATTAAACCAATTAACCTTTTATTTAAATCCCTACCTGGAATCGGGGCGTTACACAAAATGTAAAGTTTATGCTAGTCCATGAAAACGCACATCACTTTTTATATGTCGTTAGTAGAGCATGCATGGTTAACTAGCACACTAATTTGGGACTATAAAATCGAGTGATGGACAAATTGAAAATTATCATTGTTAATGGAGCGTGTGTGGTTTACCGACACATTAATTGAGATCATAAATGACATCGAAGTTGTCAAGTGGGTTTGCATGGTTGTTCACATCTTATTTGTGATCCTCGGCATCGCAGTCACAAATTTGAAGACCATAATCTGAGATTAAACATGTCATTGATAAGATTCAATGAATCTCAAACCATCTAGGAGTTTCATGCTAGATTGAAATTGTTAAATTTGTATTACCTACCTTGATAAGTTTGCAATTAGATTACGACATCCCTCTTCTTTATTGTGAATTGTATTTTGGATCCTAACCTTGAATATTTATTCTGGGTTAAAATATTAATAATTTTTATCACTGACTATAAATTATGTCTCTTTATACAGATTTCTGGAAACGGTGAACTCGCTACTACTCAAGTCGCTTCCTCCAACTCAAACTTCTCTCTACTCTCGATTTTGTTGAAAGAGAAGCTCACCGGCCCAAACTACATGGATTGGATGAGGATCTTGAAGATCACTCTTCATTATGAGGGCAAGGAATATGTCCTCGAAAAGCCTCTTGTTGAAATCAATGAATCCACCGCTACTCCTGAGCAGATTGCCTCCTTCAACAAATATTCTGATGATGCCATAAAGATCGCTTGCATCATGGTGGCCACTATGGGACCTGAACTATCCAAGTTCTATGCAGACTACTGGCCATGCGAGATGGCTCTTGACATTGCTGGAAAGTTCCACAATAAGGCGAGACAAAAGCGGTTCGGAGTGGTCAAAGCCTTCATGGCGTGCAAGCTCAAGGAAGGAAAACATGTTTGCCCTCACGTACAAAAGATGCAAAGGTACGTGGAGCAACTCCATAAGCTCAATGTGTCATTTAACCATGAGTTGGCCATTGATATGGTCCTTAACTCATTACCTCCTAGTTATGATCAGTTCGTTCTCACCTATCATTTGAACTATACGGAGACGACATTGATCGAGCTTCATAATTTGTTGCAAACTATTGAATCGGGGATGAAGAAAAATCATGTCTCTACTACAACAAATGCTCTTGTCCTTGTTATTGGATATGGAAAAGGGAATAAGAGGAAGGCTCCTTCCTAATCCGGAAGGAAAGGGAAGGCCCATTTTGGAGGGTCTAGCAGTGGGTCAAAGTCGAAGCCCAACTTTGATGTCCTCGTGGTCAGTGATCCAATGGAGGCCACTTGCCTTCATTGTGGTGAAAAGGGTCATTGGAGAAGAAGCTGCCCTAAGTACCTACAGGACTTGAAAGGTGGCAAGATCAAGGCATCCTCTTCAGGTGTTTACACTATTCAAGTTAGTAACACACAACTTTCTCATTCTTGGGTCCTTGACACGGGATGTGGTTCCCACATCTGTTCTGATTTGCAGGGACTAAGCGAAAGTGAGGAGGTGGAGCATGGGAAGCTAAATCTAATCATGGGGAATAGGAGATATTCACATGTTACCAAGATTGGAACACATGGGCTTATGCTTGGTAGTGGTGTTAGGGTTAATTTGATTAATTGTTGTTATTCGTCAGATATGACACGAAACATTATTTCATTTCATGCACTATTCAGACAAGGTTCTAGATATTCATTTGATAATGAAGCTGGTTCAATTTTTGCTTATCATAATGGTGTTTTTTATGTTTGAAGCTTTACCTTGTAATGGTGTGCATGAAACTGTGACTTGTGTTGATAACCTAAGCAATAGTGTGTTTCATATTGATTCGTCCCATGGTGTGGACAAATCATGTTTGTGGCATTGTCGTCTTGGGCACATAAACAAATAATGCATCGCCAACATCCAAATGGATGGAGTGTTGGAATCATTTGATCTTAGGATAGATGATGAATCTAAATCTTGTCTCTTGGGCAAGATGACAAAATCACCTTTCATTGGAATATGTGAAAGAGGTGATGGATTGTTGGACCTAATCCATACGGATGTGTGTGGCCCATTTAGATCCATCACAAGAGATGCTAATCAATACTACGTGACGTTTACAGATGATTATAATAGATATGGTTATATCTACTTAATCA